CAATACAATGAAAAGCAGTATTTGAGTTCACAGAGCTTGTACTTGTTGAGAAGGCCTTTAGACTAAGGTACTGATGTTCTTAAACATTTACACATACACAGCATTAACTCAAAATTAGTGCCTTTTTTTTTGAGCTCTGAAGGAGCCCTAGAAAATTGAGAGAGAGAAATCTTTCACCATAGATACAGCCACCTGAAACAGTTCACTTCCTCACCAACAAGGACAAGATCAGTAGCAACACTAATGTTGTTCTTTCAAGATAGTTTTATTTCTGAAAATCTCATTATCTTCAGAGGAGATTACAAACATCTCAAAACACTGTGTTCTGAACAAACCACAAAATCATTTCTCCTTCTCCAGTAGAAATAATACTCCAGCAGTAAATCATTAGGAGAACAAAACCAGAAAGAACCTTGCTAAGACAACGTGCAGCACCTTTAGGACACTTCAGTAACAGAAAATTAGTATCACAAAGTCAAGCCAATGAATGAATAAATACTATGCTTTAACAAAAGACAGATAAATACATGATGGGTTACCAGAGTGTGGATGTGACAAGCTATGACTTCTGAATGAAGGTATTTTCTGAAGTGTCAAAATGACTCATCAGTTTGAAATGCACACTGAAAGAGTTCCAAGAGCCAACACATTTCCAAAGAAAACTGATTAATAAATACAGTGTTAATCTATCCACAGAGCACAATGAGTTCATCTTTCCTTTAGAAGTTTCTTTCCACAACAAGACACTAGGAATTCTTCAGAACTTCCATACGAAAATCATTAAGGAAACTTAATAAAAAGATAAAAGAAAATAAAGTCAAGCATTTACTGTAAGAGTTCCTGAGACTTCTTCTACATGAATTCATTTCGTGTTCAGAAATAACCCCAACCTGTCCATCTAAGGGAATACATCCTAAAAAATGCCAGTTCTAAATTGTGGGTTTGAATTCTTCCACTATTTAATGTCTCAGAGGTACTTACTGCAACTCTGCAGGAGCAAAACATCAAATAAACAGATGCAAATAGATATATAAGGATGCAGAGTGTGTTAACAAACTACATCTTTGTCTTAGAAAGCAGCAGGATCATACATAGGAGAAATTAGATTCACGTTATTGTTATATCTGGACCAAAAAGAAAAAGCAAGTCTATTAGGAAAGACATAATTTAGACATCTAGTCCCAACCCACGCAACAGTAAGTTTCAGAGCAGCAAACAGAGAATTCCAAGTGAAGAACTTCAAGGTATCATAAGATACAGTCAACTTTACCTCTAGTACAGCAATAATAGCACAGGGGTAAAGTCTTTAGCTACTACAAATGATAACAAGCCCAAACATAGCATCCATAGGCATTTAAACAACAACAACAAAAAAAAAACAACAAACAAACAAAAAAAAACCACACACGCAAAAAACCAAACAAACAAACAAAAAAAAAAAAACAAAAAAACCACCCACAAAACAAAACACCTGCTTACTTTTGAAAGGCCTCAGATCTCCAATAAGATACCCTCACCACCACTGCCAACCCTTAAATGAGGTCTGAGAAGGGGTGGAACCAGGATCCACCCCTTGTGGTCACTCAGGTAGATTGCGTGCGCCTGAGCTCCCCTGGGTTGGCCCTGCCTTCCTACCAGGTGCTCAATCACTGCTTCAGGCCATGACTTAGCATTTCTGCTACACCTCCACTATAAGAAACTACTGTCAAATACCAGGTCAGCTTCCTTCCTGCTTTTCAGGCAGAGTACTTCCTGCAGCCCTGCCTGTTCCCAAACAGGCCCTTACGTTTCTGGTGGGGAGTTTGTATGTTTATGCATATGTATGCATACATGCACATAAATAGACAATTTGTAATGTTGGTTAATTGAATTTTGTTGCATTTCCAGATGTTTTCCTATAAGGTTACTGCAATTTGTTGCAGTTGCTGCAATTATAAGGAGAAAACACTCAAAGGCAATCTGCAGTCTGTGTATGCAGTCTGCACTGAAATGCACCCAAATATGGGAAAGTGGATGTTGCTATTTAATAGCACATTCAGACACACAGTGAGTAAGAATAATTATCCATCTTCAAGTATAAAGCAAAATTAGGAAGATGGAATGTAATTATGCTAATTGAAATCTAGCCTATGCACCAATACCAAACTTTGGAAATACAGCTGGGGCTTCTTTGCAGTCACAAGTGTTGCTTATTGTTTCTGTCTCATCCTAAGGAATTCCACTGGAATACAATGCTCTCCAGCAACTTAGAGAACCAATGTGTATAAAACCTTGTCAGGAACAGACACTTGTCACACTCTTCACAACCTGGTACCTCATAATGTATTTCTCCCCAAGGTGGTTGCTATGTCTGACACAGATGAAATTATATCTGCCTGCAGAGATGCTATGGTCAAGACTTAGAGTGTTTATCTGTTCCACAAGATTTTCAGTCCTCTTTTCTCCACCCGGAAGTCTAGTGAAAAGGCAACTGATCATGGTTTCCTACTGTGTTTCAGAGCATAAACTACAAGAGCTAAGGATAAAATCAGATCTGAAATACATTTTTGTTCTGCCTATAGAACATAGTCTACAGTTTTCATTTAACTTATATTTATTTAAACTTATACAACAGCAGCCACTAATAATGCTTAATTTGTATGCACACTTCTGATCTGACATGGACACCAGCCAGTCACTAGCAACTTTAAGCAAGAGATCAATCCATTTCCTAATTAGAGATGTGAATTAATGGGAACTGGCCATTTTAAAAGCAGCAGGCCCTAGACAATTCTTTAGATGCCCTGTGCCCTAGAGTTTTTCTTTTGTATTAATTTGAAACTATTCATTCTCATCAGTGATTTATGGAGTCTAGGTGCTACTTGGCAGTACTTTCAACGTCTGTGCTGATAAAGGAGAAAACCTTTACTGTATCTCGAACTGTCAACAACTTGCTTTTGAAAAATTTAGAAGAGTTCTTACATTTGTCCTTCATGTTTACACAGTCTAAGAAAGCCACTCAGAGTACCTGCATTTTTGTGGAGAGTAAGGCTTTAGAAGCATCTCATTAATGACTCATGTCAGCTTTACCCACCAGCAGAATATGCTAAATTCTATTGGCCTCACACCATAATTCTCCAACTGGGTACTGAACCTTACTGCGACAGTCCAATTAGTTCTGCTGGCAACATTAATGAGATTCTTATTATGTGTGAAAGACACCTAGCAAGTATGAATTCTTATGCAGCCCTCCGGTTAAAAGCATTATTACAACTTTCATAGAAGAAGGCATCAAAACCCACGCAAAGAAATTTAACAATTTTGTTTAAATTTAATATAACGTATGATAAAGAGAAGAGCTGGAGTAAAATCCTGTCACTGCTTCGCACACAATGTTATTTTATGGCTCTGCATAGGACCAACACCATTACATTAGCAGTCAGAACTGTGAATATTTTCTGACACAATTGAGTTGGTCTATCTATTATCACCAGTAAATCCTTTAAAAACAAACACCAGTTCAAATAATTATGCTGTTCAACATATTAACTTCCTAGACATCAGTGAGAGGAACTGCAGTGATAAAGTGCCCTGTTTTAGGGAAGATGAGTTAAAAGATTTATTTGTATCCTGGGCTTCAAATAAAATACCTTTAATATTGGGATCACACTTTCCACTGAATAAATGTCAGGGAAATAAACTTGATAGAACAATATATATTCCATGCTCTAAAATTATGAATTTTAAAAAGGACTGAGAAAATGAAACTACAAAGTCTTTAACCTCTAGGGAATAAATCCAAATATCAACCAGGTCAATAGTAATCTGATGTCAACTGTTACCATAAAAAATGGACAATGATAAATAATGAAGTATCAAGCTGACAGGGAGGCAGTTAGTGGGAACTGTGAGCATCTGTGTTATTCTTATTCTGTGATGTTCTTTGTATATCTTGATTAGCATTTCAAGGAAAACGTAATGTTCCTCCCTATACTATTTCACAATCATTTATAACCTAGAGCATGAAAACTGTCAGCCTACCTCTTAAGATTCGCCCAGAAAGTGTTCTTATTCAGTTTGGGTGCTTGCTGGCCCGTTTGCAACATTACTTTCCTGAGAAGAAAGATATAAAATAAAGCAATCAATAAAAGGTGAATCTTTAGGTCGGAAAGGTTTAGTACACAATGCAGATTTTGCTTATCTAAAGAGGTGGTGTTTTCTTGATTACATTTTTCTCCTCTAATGTTGACAGCCTAAATAAAAGACTTTTATGCAGATCTCTGCTGTGATTATTATTCAGCTGACTCCCAGTTCCTGCAGGATGCCCCTTCCACTCCCAACTGATCACTAATTTGTTCTGATGGGGAATATGAAATTAACATTTACCATGTAAATTATTTTTGTTTCTTGAAAAGGACCAGCACCAAGCAGCAAATCACTGAATGCTAGAACATTTAAACAATATGAGCTGTTCATTCCTCTTACCCTCACTGCATCAGTATTCACTTCCTTCCTCATGCTGGCAAAATTGTTTTGTTACATTATAGGAGTGGCACATAGAAGTCTCTATTTCAAGAGAATCCACATCACTTGAGCTGCAGCACATAATGAAACATGAGAGAAGACAAGATTCATGTCCCAAATATCTCAAAGTCAAGCTAAGACCTCAGCAAGGCCAGCCCGGTTCCTTTCAGCATCTAAGGGGCGCTATAGGAAAGAAGGGGACAGGCTCTTAAGCAGGGTCTTGTGCGACAGGACAAAGCGAAGTGGTTTCAAACGAAAAGAGGGGAGATTCAGATGGGACATAAGGAAGGTTTCTACATTCAGGGTGGTGAGGCGCTGGCACGGGTTGCCCAGAGAAGTGGTGGATGCCCTCGTTTTTCACAGATGATCGCTGCCTGAAGAGCAGGGACGGCGTGAGGACGGCAAACCCACCACCACAACACGGCGCCTCCCGCCCTCCGCACCCCGCCCGCTCTCTGCTCCGCGGCCAGGCGGAGCGGGGCGGGGCGCCGCTGGGGCCGGGCCTCGGGCCCTGCTGGGCCGGAGACGGCGGGGGAAGGGAAGCAGAGCTGTTTCTTCGGTGTGTGTAAGGCTGCGTCCGTAAGTACAGCGCTCGGGCCCAGCAGTCTGGCTGTAAAGGAAGGCCCCAGCGTGTGGTTACGGCATTCTGAAGGGGATTTGTTAGATTAATAACTGAAGGAAGGACAACGTCTGCCGCGGTGGGGCTTTAACCGGGAAGTGGATGCAGAATGCTTTCCTGTTGGCTGTTACTTGCTGTAACAAACGGATCGAGTGCCCTCAGTAAGAACACGAAGCTGGAGGAAGCAGCCGTCTGCCTGACGGCGGGAAGGCCCTACCGAGGGACGTGGGCAGGCTGGAAGTCAATTGCATGAGCTTCAAGAAGGCCAAGCGCGAGTCCTGCGCGTTGGTCACAGCAACCCCTTGCAGTGCTGCAGGCTTGGGGCGGAGTGACTACAAACAGGTCTGAGGGTGTTGGTTGGCAGCCAGCCGAACAGGAGCCAGCAGCGTGCCCAGGGAAACAAGAAGGCCAGCGGTATCCTGGCTTGCATCAGAAATAGTGCAGCCAGCAGGAGCAGGGAGGAGTCCCTCCATAGTCAGGTCCCTCTGTACTCAGCTCTGGTGTATGGCAGCTGTTGGGTCACAGCCTGAACCGGTGATTGAGCACCTGGTGAAGGGGCTTGGCCAACCCTGGGAGCACAGATGCAAGTAATTCACTTGTGTGACTGGAAGGGGTGGACCCCTAATCACTTTCAAGGGCTGGCAGCTGAAGGGAAAGCATCTCTGCTTGGAGATTGTCTCCTTTAGGAGTATTTCAGGGAGCCCTAATGCTTGGAAAGGGTTCAGCTGTTTCTTTTTGTTACTGAATTGTGACCAGTATCTTTCTTAGGTGATTTGAGAACTTGTCAGTGGCAGCTATGTCCTCTTATACTTTATACAGTACGTCTCGTGAGGCTGCATCTTGAGTACTGTGTTCAGTTTTTGGCTCCTTGCTACGAGAAAGTCTTTGGAACCCTGGTGTCTATGCAGAAGAGGGCAGTGGAGCTGTGAAGGGTGTAGAGCATGAGTGTTACAAAGAGTGGCTGAAGGAACTAGAATTCCGTAGTCTGGAGAAGACTAAGAGAAGTCGGGAATATTTACTGTTCTCTGCAACTCCCTGAAAGCAGGCTGTGATAAAGTGAGGGTGAGGGTCAGCTTCTTTTCCTTGGTAACTGCTATAGGGCAGGAGGTGATGGTCTCAAGTTGTGCCAGAGGAGGTTTGGGTTGGATTTTAGAGGAAATCTCTTCTCAGAAAGAGCAGTGAGGTGGTGGAACAAGCTGCACAGGGAGATGAAATCATCTCGAGAAGTTTTCAAAAGATGTGTAGATGTGGCACTAGGGAATATGGTTACTGGAAATGGCAAGGATGGGTTGATGGTTGTCTCCTCTATCTGTGTGTAGCTGCAGCTCCTTGGGCCAGCTGTGGCTCGAACACTGACTCAGTTTGCAGCTCCTATTATTTTTCTCTGTTAGATCTCATCTAATTAACAAGTCTGAATTAATGTTGGTGTAGTGAACAAAAAAAATGACTAAGTATTTATTAATATTTAAAGGTTAGATCAGAACTATTATTTGACTTCTGGCACATGCTAAAACAAAGATTAAACTTTTGGTCTTAGGAATTGGTGTTAAGTATTTCTTTTGGAAATCAACTGTTGGGAAAAGCCCTGAACTTTTTAAGGCATGCAGTCTGTACACAGTTCACCAAAGGACCTTGGTGGCAACAAGGCATGTAGAACAGACAGCAGTGCGCTTCAGGGAGAGAAATAGCTAAAATCAGCACCTTCAAAACTAAGTTCATAGAATGGCCTGGGTTGAAAAGGACCATAGTGATCACAGAGTTTGAACCCCCCTGCTATGTGCAGGGTCACCAACCTCTAAGCCAGGCTGCCCAGAGCTGCATCCAGCCTGGCCTTGAATGCCTGCAGGGATGGGGCATCCACAGCCCTCCTTGTGGAACCTGTTCCATTGCGTCACCACCCTCTGTGTGAAAAACTTCCTCCTAATATCCAACCTAAACCTCCCCTGTCTCAGTTTAAAACCATTCCCCCTTATCCTATCACTATCCACCCTTGTAAACAGATGTATCCCCTCCTGTTTTTATGCTCCTTTCAAATACTGGAAGGCCACAGCGAGGTCTACCAGGAAGCCTTCTCTTGTCCAAACTAAACAGTTAATGAACACCAAACTACAGTGGTGTAGCTGAACTTCAGGGTGATGATTCCTTTGTTTACCCACTTCCATCACTCTGGGGTTCTGTTTTTTTCTGATGGAAGAGCCACAGCTGTTGCTGCTGTAAGCATCTTTCCAAAGGCATGTCGCCCATTCATTTATTCTCCTTATGAGATCGGGAGAAGAAATGGGTTGAAATTATTTAGGAGAGCTGTTAGATTCAAAGGGAGAATGGCTAGTGAATCACTCTAATAAAAAAAAGAAAAGAATAAAGCTTGTCAGTTATGTGGCAGCTACCTGTCTGAAGTCTGTCTTATTCCTTAAACTTTGTTCTGGAGAGCTTTTTTTTTTTCCTATGCTGTGAGCATGGCTATCTTCATTTTGAGAACGTTAGCAGGCTTGTGCTTATTTTCTAGTATTCTAGACAAAGTCTAATCTAACTAAGGAGAGTTTGCTTTTTTGAGAGGTGGGAGGTTTAATCTAAGAAAAACAAAATCTGTTTTTAAAAATCACCTTTGTTTTCATGAATGACTGAATTCAAGTGTTACCTGTAATTCATTGCATTCAAACTCAAAAGGAATGCTCATCAAAATTCATTGGCAGTGCTTGATGGTAATTGTTACTGTATGCTTACAGATTTTAATGATGCGTTACTTTGATCAGCAGTAGTGCTTTCAAGGGTGTTGCATTGATGTAACATATTAAGTAGTTATTCCATCCACCTGTTTTGGTGGCTAAATAGGATTTGAGCTGAGCTATAGTGTTTGTCCACGTGTTCCCCATAGCTGTAAATGATTCAGTTGTTCTTCCTGTGTAACTGAAATTGCAGTATGCTTTTATTCTGTTTTTATTTGTAGTGTTACACCATGACTACTACCTCATCAGATGGCTCTGGTGACTGTGAAAAGCAGCAGAAGGAATTGAGCCAGAGTTATGCTAGCTCTGTCCTCGACTATTCAGAAGACACCTGGGAAACCTTCAGTGAGGAAGAAATAGCCTCCTGCTGGCATGAGAGCAAATCATCTCAACTGTACTGTTCCACAGAAGATGCAGAGCATTCTGGTGTGTTGGATCCAGGGGAAAGCATGTTGTGGTTGGCAGGCCAAAGTCATACAGGTATGGAGAGCTTACCATACTTCAGACCTATCACAGCTTTAGATCTGGGCACTGGACACTTGAATTTGCAAAAAAATGTGAAAACTGAATGGAGTGTAGCCTTGGAGATCAGTGCTTAAAAAAGCTGAAAAAGATTATTGTTGCTATGATGTCTTATTCATGGTACATTTCTATAATTGAACAGTGTCTAATGGATTAGACTGAACAGTTTGGCTTGTAAAAATTAGTTTTTACAAATGATGGGGTTTATTAAACCTTTTTTTCTGGATATACAACAACATTTTGAAATGGTTCCATGTCTAACCACTGATATCCTTCTTTTTGCCATCCAGAAGCATGTGCTTTGTTTGCAGAGGTGCTTTTAGTAAGTGCTACCACTTTGTATCTTCATGAGGTTAATATTCCATGAAATTATGGAGTTGTCTGAGTGCTACTTGTTAAATAAAAAACCAGGGAATAATGCATAGAAAAAATATTTTGTGAAGTTGATAGTTTTCTGCAGTTGATACCTTATAGAGAGCAGCATATATAAATAACTCTGTAAAACCTATACGCTGATGTCTCTGTTACCTTCTATAAGCCTACTGAATTTGCTATTGCTATCCTGAAAACAGATTAGAGAAGACAGCCAGTGTCTGGAGCCATGCCGTACGTACCTCTCTGTCAGTGGCACTGATTTTTCAGACTACTTCAGTCTTTCATCTTTTCCAGATTCAGTTCACCTATGCTCCCATGAGTATTTGTGCTGCCACAAAAGAAGGGCCTACGTGGGCCTTGATCGAGGTGAAGTTAGCACTGCAGACAAGATGGAATGTGCCACTCTCTTCTTTCCAGCTTATCCTGTAATCTTTCGGTGGAGTGATTAGAAACGAGCAGTGAGATACTTCAATGGGACAGAAACTTCCTTGGTATTTCAGCATGAAGTTGTTGATATAAATGGTGAAGTCCTGTGGCTCGAGGCTTCTTTTTCAACACCGGGGAAAACTCAGCCATATTCTAGTGAAGAATTTGCCTCTTGGTTTAGTAGTCTTGAGGGTTTTTTTTTGTTTTGTTTTGTTTTTTGTTTTTTACAATGTATGATCAAATATCTTTTTTTTTTTTCCATTGTAGAAGAGCAGTCTGAAGTAGTTGATTCTGCAGCTGCAGAAAGAGATTTCATTGGAAAGTTGATTGATGTCCTAAAAAATAAGGAAGCTGGCATTAAACAAGATAAATTCGTCATCAAAACTCATGCTGGTGAGTTCACTAACTTAGGTAGAGTTGATAATTCTTCTTTTGACAGAAGAAGGGGATCAGAATTCTTAGCTAGACTAAAAAGTCATGTATAAGCTATTAAAGATAAGCCAGGTAATTAACCAGACTCAATTAGCCAGGTATATAAAGCTTCTCTTTTCTGCTTTCTTGGAAGAAAAAAACAAAACAGTTTGTCTGCTGTAACACATAGGTTTGCTGCTCCTGATGCAGAGACGTTTTACTGCTTATGTGTTATTACAAGGTGTGGATAAATCTGCAGAAATTTAAAGCAGGGATAACTTTTCTTGAACTGTAAAATCTCAATTTTACTGGACTGGTTTTTTTTCTCTCCAGCTGTGTAGGTGCTGGGCTGTGTTTTCTCTTTGAAAATAAGCATGCTTTCAGAACAGGTGAAATGTTTTCCCCCTGCAGACCGTCTGTGTTAATTATTGAATCGCCGGTTGGCTATGGTTTACATAGGTTGCTCCTAAAGTAATGCCTCCTATTTATTTCCATGGAAATGACAACAGATACAAAGACCACAATCACACTTTCTAGTAGAGCAAATTTTCAGCTACCAAACAGTTTTTCAGTAAGTCACCAGCGTTAGCTAATTCATGCAGGGGAGCTGACTGTGATGCTCTTCATTTCATGGTGTCACAGTTATGCGTGACTGTCTTTGTGTTGCTACTGCTGAAATGAAGCACCCACTCCTCACTGTGTTGACATCCTCTGTTTGGTCTCTGTAAATCTTCAGCAAGCATCAGTGAATGTCAGTGAGTGCAGTTTTTTCCACAGAGGAATTCAGTGACACATCTTGGTTTCATATGCGCTTCCATGTCAGATGCCATTCTCTCAGGCTGCCCCTCTGCTGTCATCTGTCACGCAGCAACAGAATGTGATGGAACATTGATGGGAAGGCTCAACCTTTACTGCCATACCACCAATATCTTATTGTTGATGTCATGGGCCAACATAATAAAATAGGAGGCCTTACTCACAGAGAAACCCTCAGAGTCTCTTTTCTAAGCTGCAGGAGGCAGCAGGGCTCCAGCTTTGGCAAGAACAATAGAACAACTTCAACCAACACAATGATGTAGTGTGGAGGAGGAGTGGGGAAGAGAGGAAAGGAGGAGGCTTTTTGCATGCACTGGTTATGCAAGGAAATGTGAGAGCAGATGGTGGGATGGAAGTACTGCTCAAATCTCTCTAAAAAGTGGGTCAGAGATACTATTTTTAATTTAAAAAAAAAAAAAAAAAAAAGAGCAAGAAAGTTGTGGTTGAGCAAGAAAAATGACTGAAGCAGGGTATCTTCCTTTGCATGTATGTGGGGAAAAATATCCAAAGTTTTGTAGGTCTGCTCTAAGACTGATAAACCAGGTCCAGGTACTCTGCATAGAAGCATCCTGAAACTCCCCATACACCACAGGGGAACATGCCCTGAGATCATTCTTATGCTTCTCTTAATTGCATAGCTCATTCACAACAGTGGTGACTCAGTGTTATGAGTTCCTAAGTCATCTTCAGCTTTTATCTTTCTATTATTGGGTTTCTTCATGGAGTCAAGTGTAAAGACAAGTAATGTACATTATTTTTAGTAGTGAGGCCTCTCCTGGTGAGCTATGCTGAGATAATCTTCCTAAAATACCTCAGAGTCTCATGATCATTTGATCGATAGGGAAACTGAAGAGAACCTGCTGAACTCAGATTCATTTAACAAATTATAAACAGCAATGTAGCATTAGGAATGTTTTAGGTCTCTACAGGGTTTTCCTTGAAAATTGATTGGCAAGACTTCATCCTCTGAATTCTGCTCAAAGAAACGTTCTGTCTTCAGCTTATGGGCTGTGGGCAGGTATAGGCAGGCTGGTGGCTGAGTCTTTTAGCTCGAGGTGATGTGTAAAATGATGCATTGCTCTCTATCTGTGCTCTCCCTGATCATCGAAGTAGTTCAGCACTCTGGGTGCAGCGTGCCTCCTCGCTCTGTCAATATGAAGGTTCGTGCTTAAGCTTCATTTGTATGAAAACAATGCTGGCACGCAGTGGACAGATTATCCCCAAATTATCATCATCGATATTTAGTCTACTTTTATTAGAAAAACAAAGTACACAGCTAACATACATACAGAATAAGCACAGCAGCTTCGGTATGCTGATACCTATGGATGTCTCCTCTTCTTTGGCTTAATTCAGCACTCAGTAGGCTCTGAGCCCTTATTATTTTATCAACTTGGTGTCATCTAAAGCATAATAGAAAATGAGATCTCCTAGTGCTCGGCTGCTGCACAGTTAATTCCCCTCTGTAAATTTAGCAAAATGAATGCTGTATGCACTGAATATGCATGTCACTTTTGAATTCATCTATGGGTAATAAAGCAAGAGTTTTTGTATCTTACTGTTGATACAGTTAAATGAGGAAAATCTTGCTTTGCATATAGGAATGCCCTGGAACATCAGTCTTGTTTTGCTAGATTTATTTATGGCTTATAAGAAGGAAAACCTTGATGCTTGCATCAGGAGAAGTGAGGAAGTTTTTACTGTAACTGTTGCTTTCTCTTCCTTGGACCTTTACTTCAGTTGTGTAGCAACTAGTTGTTAGAAAAATGCATCAAAAAACCCCACCCTATTCTTCTAAGTCTCCAAGTCTCTCAATTATTCTGAAGACAGTTAATCATCTTTGATATTTACTACAGGAAACCACAGTTCTTTGGTTCATGTATGTCTGAAAGTTCAGGTGGGGCTTTTTAACAGCCTGGCTTGCGCTCCTATTGAGAGATTCACACTTAAAGTAGCTTGTAAGATGTTTGTGTTAAGTGCTTTGCTTGTTGGGTTTTTTTTATGCAGTGTTACCACTGTACTGCTGCCAGCTAAAGTAAGAGTTTTGGTAGTGCATGTTGTTCAGAGGTACAGAAATGTTTGAGCAGAAGTAGGCAGCTCTGTGGCTGAAATACTAAAATGCAGGATGTCAGTCAATTTTGACAACTTAAAGTACTCTGCTTATTGTGGTACTGGTATCAACACTGGGAAATCTAAAGGTAAGAAAGTCTAGGGTAGATACAAATAGCTGCAGTTTGTGGTGTTTGGGTGAAAGGTGCTGGCATGTGTGCATAGGTGAGTGCACTGAGGGAAGCATAAGGATTTGTTTTTCTGTATTAATTTTTGCCAGTTGCCCAGCTATTTCTTTGAGTAGATCTAGTGTGTGTGTGCTTCGTGAACAAATTTCCAAGTGTCCTAGTGTGTAAATTGGCTCAGCAAATAGTGTAAGTAAAATAGTGAAATAGTAAAAGTATTTGTTAAAGTAGTAGTAGTTGCCTATAAAAACTGAGGAAGCTGTAACTATTGTGTTTGCAGGAGGGAGCAGGTACCCATTGGTCTTTGTTGGCTCGTTTTTAATCCTGTGCTTCTTGGCACTTCATCTTCCTGCTTGGTAACATGCACAAGGTGTGGGAATCCAGCAGGCTGAGGCCCTGGTGTTTCAGAGTTCTATCTTTTCATCCAACAATGTGTTAGAAAGCTTTGCTATTCAGTAGTAAAATAGCATTGATACAGGCCAAATGGGGAAATTCCAACCAGCAACGTCCGTGTGGGAATTGAGAAAGAGTTTCTCCTGAGAAATATGAATTCTGTGAGATTTTGTTGTTGGCTCTTATAATGATTGTTGAGTGGAAACTGAGGAAATCCTGCACTGTGCAGGAGAACATAGTTGGCTTTGAATTCATGTTTCTGTTAAATAGCTTGATTTATCAGATGGCTTATTATCAGTGTTATGCTATCTGAACAAATCTTTTGAAACTTATGCTTGCTGATTGGGCCATCAGTGTGTTAATCTGAATTGCTGTACTCTATGGCATGAATGCAATTTAGATAATTATGAGGATGTTATCTTGTCGATCTTACTGAGTAGTAATCAGTTACTGACTTTCACAATTATCTCTCCTTTATCCATTCCACATTTTTTCTTCTTATAGTAGAAGACTGTAGGCATATTGTTATTATTATGCTTTAGGTTTTTTCTACTTAATCAAAATTAGGCATCAAAGATAAAGGAAACCCAGGGAAACAGTAGGTTTCTTTCTTTTTTTTTTTTTTCCTCCATCACTTCTGTAGATTTAAAACCTTATCCTTAAAAATGTAGTTGCATACAGGAAGTAAAATCTATGTAGGTCATTTAGTTATAAGGCACGTGCCAGGTTTTATAATGTAGATGTGGAGATTATTTTATCTCCAGTGGTGAGATACTGACTGCTTTTATCAGAGCAGCTTGTTGGTTCAGTTTGTGCTTTACTTTCTAAACAGCCTGTGCTTTGTTAGCCTGTGTCTGTGTGATACATGGTTCTCATTTGATGTCTGTTCTGGTGTCTGGTTTTGTTCTTCTTAACACCTATCCCTTCCTTATCCTCCAAGGAAGATGGTATGGAATGCACGACTGGGGGCAATGAAGCATCAGCAAAGCATGCTTCTGGAACAATAATTGGCATTGGCAGGTATTCTCAATAGACAGATATACAATGACATTTAAATCTGCCCCCATGAATGGAGATTGAGCATTCAAGCATGTCTAGTCCAAAGATGGAAAAGAGAGAAAGACAAGAAATGGAACTGAAAACCAACTGGTTTCAACATGGGTCCTGTTGCATAAATCTCACTTCCTTCAGCGGAAGAACAGACAAACCTCTTTTACCTGAAAGAAAATCTGAAAGTCTAAATAGTTATTATGCAGTTAAAATACTCTTCTTTTTAATTCTGCTCCCTGAATTTAACTGTGTGCTTACTTCTCTTACCACTTTTGGTTCTTATTTCTGTAAAATTGTAGTCCTGGATCTTTGAACATTTCTATTCCCTTGGAGTTTATTTACTGATAAAGTTTAAATCTTCTTCTTCTCTTTGCTGGTGTCTCTTCTAATGTCTGTAGGTGTCTATGAGCAAATGGGTGGATGCCTGGCAGCACAATTAATGTGTGCATTGTTAGAAACCAGTTCTTCATTCAAGTGCACTTCGATGTGTCAGAAGAAACTTCACGGAATGAGTTAGTCTGGTATTAAGTTGTCACAAAGTATTCAGCAACCCCATGTATTTTACTTGGGCATTGAAGTTCTTGAGTTAGTATTTTTAATTGATTTTTTTTTTTTTTTTACCATCACAGTAATGTGTTCATTTTTTTATTCAATCTCTGTGCAACATAGGTGAATACGTATCTGTTTTTTAATATAGTTAAACCAAATACTGGTGCATGTCTTACATAGTTTTGCAAGGAAGATGATCTGATGGTGTTTACCTGTGCAAACTTTCACGATCCTCCCCAAGGAAAAAAAAATATTAAATTGTATTTTACAGTACCAGTGGTTCTTATTCATCCATCTATGAAGTATCACTGTGTCGTTAGTGAATTCGATACACCAGCTTGTAAGGAGGAATAAATTGCTGTATGATGATTGATTTTTGAACTGTGACAGTTGCACTTAAATCACACATTTTCCATGTCCATAAGGCAAAGCTTACTGATTTCCACTCTGCTTAGTCTTAACTGTGGATCCACTTAATCTTCATAAGGCTTGAGTGCATTTCTGAAGACATGCCTGGCTTCCTTATGAAATTCCACTGCCGTGGCTTGCCTGCTTCAGGTGCCATTAATCACAGCATTTTTAGGAAGTGTTTTATGTTTATGTTGTTCATTGTTGTAAAGACTTGTGTTATGGTTATGCCAAGGTGCATTTAAGTACAGTTTAAGTACATTTAATGAGTTTAATGACAGTGTGCTGGTTGTCACAGAAGCACCCTGAAATATGCAGTGCTTGTCCAGAAAAAGTAAAATTGAATCTAAGGAAAATTACTGACAATGAGTGGAACATGTAATAAGGAAAGACTGCTTAAGTGGTGTACTCTGCGTTTGAGTACTTAAGTCAAAACAAACCGCATTTGTAGTATTATGGTCTGCCTTCCTTTTGGCTGTCAGAGTGCAGCCCTGAAAAGGGAGTACTGTGTTAGCATTAGCTATATGCAGAGGCATCCATCAGACTTCTAGTAATGATTACTGTATTTGTTTGGATCCCTTGCTTCTCATTTCATTACAGACAGTCAAATATTTCACCGGGCTTCAGAAGTTGCATATAAAAAAACGAAATTAGTGTTATAAAGGTAGAGAAATAGAATTCCCTCTTTAAATAGTTGAAAAAATGGTATCTCTTAAGATCACGTAGTACAGCCCAGCGTCATTACGTGCTTAAGCTCATGAAATAATGAAATTGCAACATCAAAAAGCTTACTCGTGTTGGTTTCTGTATTGATTGGCTCTGTTTAAACAAGTGGAAAATCTCCCTCAAAGCATTGTGTGAAGTTTTAAATCCATCCTTGAATGCCCATCTGAAATGAAGTCTGTTTATTATTACACGTCATTGGCAAGGGAGGAGATAAGAGTGAAAGATCTTGTTTAAACAAGGTCGTATTAAAGTTTCTTAAAGGATCATTGAAGCTTGAGAGGAAAATACTTTCAAAATAATTGCATTTCCTCAGGAAAACAAAACAAAACAACAAAAAAACCCCCACAACTATGGGTTGTTTGAATTGTTTTCCAGAGTTCCTGCAATAGCCTCTGATTCAATACTTGAAAAGTAGTACTAGATTTACTAATAACTTTATGCAGTACCATTAGGTGGTATAAATCTTTAGGGTTCTTATCTTTTCTCTTTGGAGACTATTCAGAGGCATCTGTTATGTAAGTGCCTGCAGTTGTTATCCAGATTCTGGTTTAAATTGTTATTACTGTTATTACAGTCATTGCTTCCAGGCTTGACATTGGGTTTGTTTTTTATTAAATAGATAATATGAGGTTTCACAGGTAGAAGACCAGTAATTCTTTTTCTCTGTTGTAATAATTGACACTTTGTTTTGTTAACAGAAGTTACTGAGTTATCAGAGGAAGAACTGGATGCTCTCCAGTCTTTTTGCATCATTAAGATAAGGAGGGTGCTGCAGGAGCTGATCTCTGAGCAGGCAAGTGGTGGCAAGTCAAGAAAGCAGCAGCGTGGGTTCACATCAAAGGCATCAGAGGCAAGTGACTTGAACTGCATTGTTCCCCATCAGCTGATGAACAGAATCCGTCTCAGAAACATCCGGGAGACCATTAAACAGGTACTGCGTGTGATGGTAACAGTGGTGGTGATTTGGGATGATCAGTTACTGCAGTCCACTGTATGCCCCAGAAGCCTTGTTTTTTGGTTACATTTGCACTTGTTACTTATGGAAGTATTCTGTATATTGCTAGATTATGTAGCCTTGTTAGCTCTAGTATTGAAAGTATTTCAAAAGGCACAAGCCACCCCTTGCCCCCAGCTTTCCTCCCTTTAGATATTAGTAATATTGAAAATTAAAGCATGTCCAATAGGAACTTGGTTTCCTCAGTTCCTTTACTAAAAATCATTTACATCATCTTTATACAGTTTGATGCACTTTTCTTTTTCACCAGCCCAGTATATTCTCCCCCTCTGTCATGGGCAGATAGGCATTCTGACACAACTCTTCAACTCGGCATCTGCCCAGAGGGTTGAGGCTGGTAGTATTTGGCAGCGATACTTGCATTCTCACTTTGTGCATGTGGATGGATTGGAATATGTGCTTATAGCAGTCATCACCTACAGATGCCTTTACTCATAAATCTGGGCTTTGGCAAATGCCTGTGCCTTGCTTGAAATTGGTACAGAATGTCTGTATTTGCCAAAGTGCTTCTGATTTAAAAAAAAAAAAAAAAAGCTTTGAATATCAATTATGGTCATTTATTTTGCTTTCATTCTATCATATGTGCTGGTTTTAATCTGTTGCCATACAGCATAGCAAAAGTGACTGACATGTTACTCTGTTAGCTGGGTGAGCAGGATAGAATACTTTTAAGTCAGTTCTGGCATAATGATTCTTTGATGCTACCTGCTGAAATCTCAACCAAAATAAATAAGCAACCTACATTCTTTTATTCTATTAGCATTAACCAACCCACCATTCTGTAGAATTCTTGTTGCCTTTTCATTTGCACTACAGTGTAATAATGCATTTTTTAAGGAAAGTGAATTTGATTGCTATGTCTACTTCTGTGTTTATACCACCATGTAATAGCACTTTATGCAGAGGAAGAGAAATCAAGTTAGAATACAGAGGCTTGAGATGTGGGACATGCCTTAGGCCTATATAACAAGATGGAATCTCTGTAAATAAAATCAGATAAAAATTATTGATTATTCATAAACATATTGGGATTTGTGTAATGTTATTAAATATGCTCAAGGTTTCATGGAGAATAAACTAACAAATTAGTACCATTTATTTTTACAAAGAGAACTTCTAATAAAATTTTGTTTGTATTCTGCTTTAGAGTTGCGTGTAGATATTTGAACCAATTGCTTCAGAATTTATTTTCCTCTTAAAATTTGTAGAGATATTGTAACCTCCATGGCTTGTACTTGAGGCCTTATGTTTATTATCAAAGAGGTTCTCAACAACAGCTTTGTTACAGACAGGCTCTAGCATTGGCGGAATTATTGCTGATTAACAATTGCTGTTACTCAGTTGTGATGATCAAGTCTTTGTGCTCTTAGCTTGCTGAAAACATGGGATAAAACACATTCATTTAACTTAATTGAGCCTTCAGGAATTAATATATTAGCTGTTGTGGAAGGCTGGATATCGTGCACAGACTAGCTCTCTGGAACATTAATTACTCATCAAGCAAGAGTAACTAATGGCTGATGGTTCTCCTAATGTATTTGACACTAACAAAGTATGCAGAGATTACACTGGTGAAATTGAAGTTAATCCACCCATGACTTATCTACTTAAAGCATTTTGTTGGCTGGTAACTGCTCACAGACATGTTAATTTGCAGTCATAACTTTTTTTGACTATTATAGTTAAGGTAGAAGAAATCAGGACTGTGTACACAGCCTCAAGTGTCAGGGAAACTTTTCCTGTTACAGAAGAACTAGTGCAGTACAGTTCAGTACTGTGGTTCTGAGATACAGATAATTGTAAATGAAGCTGTCTATGTTATCAGTGCTGGAGAGGGCAATACGTGAGGAAAAGCAAATATATTTAGGGTGAAGGCTTTCAGACAGACTTAGCAAGATGACTTAGTAACAAAGACTATGGAATTATTTACAGCTGCCTACAAAAGAAAATATTTATCTTTAGATGCTGTCTATATCTGTATTTTTATTATTTTTAATGGAGTAGCCATCTTGCTGGGACAGACACTGCTCATTGCATCAAAGTCTCATCCTTCAGGTGACAGAAGCTCAAGTGCACAAATCTTCACTGTGCCCTGACTGTAAGAAGAAGAAAGCAGAGCTAGCCAAAATTACTTTTCTCAGACAGAAGAAGATACTAATGGAAAGAGCTCTGCTCCGCGAAAAATTGGAAGAACGGATTTACTCCAGAGTAAGCAAGTGTATCAGGTTTTTTTTGGTAACACTTTGGTACTTACTATAACTAAAGAATTCTTAAGCCAGATTTTGCCCTAGTTTATAGTAATGTAATCAAACTGATCTGAATGCAGTACAGTTTGTAATGGAACTTGGCTCCATGTTGTTATGAAGCCATGAGGCTAGCATGCTGATCAAGTAGTGTAAGCTTGCTTGATTTATATAAGCTGAAGGTCTTTTCCATGATGTCCTGCAAGTGTTTTGGGTACATTTTGATTAGTTGCCCGCAGTTTTTTTTGATGGATTATCCAAAACAAAATGGCAAATAACAAAATGATGTAGGAGTTAGCTCTTCTCATTCTCGTCTTTCTCCAAATCCTTTGCCTTAAGAACTGCTGAATAAGAACTGCAATGTGCAATGGATTTTATGGAGGCTGAGGCAGCTTGCTCCTTACAGTCTGCTTCTAAGGCTTTTTCTTAACCGTGACAGGGATGTGATTTTTTGTGGGTTTTTTTTGTGTGTCGCTTGAATATGATAACACTGGGGAAGTGAATGTGAAGAGAATTTGACTTTCTGCAAAGATACAGTCTGAATGCCAAAGTTTTCCTGTTACGCTATTCACAGAAGCATAGATACACTTGCTTTGTGTGTTCCAGGTATTTGTTGTTCTAAGTTGCAGTGATATCAGCTTCAGAGTAGAGCTTTTGCTTTTGTACCTGCCTGTGCATATTGATTTTTTTTTTGTGGTGATGTATGTTTTTGTTTTTTCCTCAAAATTGACTTAGTTTTGCCAGGTGACTGTCCCTTCTTCCCAGCTGAATATGGCAGAGGGAAAAAGTAAGGCCTTAATTAAAAATCTGTGGGAACTTAGAGAGCTGGAGGGGAAAACGTAGCTTTGCAGCAAGTCTTCTGTTCTCTTTTCAGAAATACTTTGTGTAATGTGTCACAGCCACATTCCTCTAAGAGTTCTGTGTTTCTGCATATACTGTGATAGACTCTGGAAATGACTGATCTTCACCATTCTCTGCAGATGTGGTGAAACTTCTTTAAAGTATTGTCTTCTCAATGCTAACATTCATGCATTATAGTTACACAATCTATTCCAGAAGGATTTTCTTTAATGTAAGCTGGAATTCATGGAGTCCCTGCCTGTTCTGTGGCTTCTTCAGGATGCTCTTTCTCAAGGAAGAGTTGTACCACTTCTTGATACAGAGTGAAACGGCAAGCAAGTTGTTTCTGAGCAAAGGATAGAAATGGCTCTCTGAAGCTTCAAAACTTTTTTGTGTTTGTGAGCAGATTGGGAATTAGTGGACTGTACCACACATTCCATTTTCTCCTAATAATGCCGGCCTCCTGATTTTTATTTTATTTTTTTTATCCATTATATCTGTAGTTGAAATTTGAGACTTCAGAAACCATTGGGGAGCAGCTGGGGTAGTGTATGAGCTCCACAGTACTATCGAGCTCTTTGTCATCTATGTTGGCAGCCATCCACAGAAGGTAGAAGTGATGTGTGGTCTCTAGTGACCAGCATAGCTTTCTGCTTACATGCTGTATGGGCCAGATCACTGGCCACGTTGGTCAGCAAAGTTTTTAAACAAGGTGCTTTAAAAATCCAGCAAAATTGTGATGATGGATACAGCCTACCTAGTTGTTCTTGAGGGACTGGATATAGTTTCCAGTGGCAGACCTATGATACAAGTACATGGAATCCAAAACCTAATAATTTTCATGTCCCCTTTTTATTTCAGGATGTGCTCACGCTTATAGGAGAAACACTCAGAAGCTTTCCTAAACTTTCAGAGGATCCCAGGAACTTATGGCAAAAGCTGAAAGGCAAAGGTCAGAAAACTTAAAGCCTGAAAAGAGTAAACAAAACTCAAGGACATAAAGTACTTGAAAAGTCTTCTGTGGGCAGCCACATACTGAATGCCAGCTCTTGCGGATGTAACTTGTTTTGTCAGTGATGAATTGGGTGGAGGTTTAATATTCTTGCAGGTGGAACCAGATATACCCAGTGTGCTGAGGTCTGGGTTATGATTCAACTTTACACTTCCTCAAATGCAAATATTGTATTGTAATCCAGCTAAGTTGGCTTTTCAAATTATGAAAGCCAGCATTTTCTGTTATTAGTCTGACAAGTGATGAGGTTTTTTTTTGTTTTATTATTACAATTTTTTTGTTAGGATTGCTTGTGAGATATCAGAACAGCTTCCATCCATAAGAAAAATGATTCTGTTTTCTAGAGCAGGGAGGTGTAATTATTGGGTTTCAGCTCAATCTTTGCCTACTGACTTGTGTTAAATTGGAAGTGAGAGTCCCAAATGAAGGAGAAAAAGCAGGTTGCAAAGTAACTGTACAAAGAAGTAAAATGAAATGGGGTATTTATAGAACTGAAATAATGAGGCTGTAACAGAAATTAATCTGTAACACTGAGGATGCCAACAGGACAAATGATAATAAATTAATCATAGACCCTGTCTAGGTTAGGTGTCTAGGAGGAGAAAATATAAGTTTAAAATGGCATACGGTATCAAATAATATTTTTGGCAGTTTTTTAATATACTTTGGAATTTGTTGTAATTTTACAATGGTTTTCAAGATGGCAAAGACTATCTTTAAAGAATGCACCTGGATGAAAGTTGAGTATTTGGTATGCATCCAAATGAAATGGCTGGGGAGCTCAATGGGTTAGACAACAAAATCATTATCTTCATTGTAGCCTAAAAAGGTACTTGCTGCTCTTTGAGTGCACCTTAGCTTTCTGATTATTGCTGACAGCAAGAGCTCATTGCATTGCTCATGTGGTGACCTTGTGGCCATTGGACTTTCATGAGTCACAGTTACTGACTCTCATCAGTCTCTGGTTTCTGTGTAGTTAGATCTCTTGAAGGCTGTGGAAATCTTGAAGGAATATCCTTATCTATAAACAGAGTGCATAAAGCATATTGCTGCTTAATAGTTCAGTTGCTTAATAGGAAAAATAGGATAACATTTCACTTTAAAAAAAAAAAAAAAAAAAAAAAAAAAAAAAACAAAACACCATTTTAGGACATGAATGTGAATTGTTGCAGTTATTTTGTATTTTATATCCTTTTAATTATTTTCTTAAATATGCTTATATTGTTTTTAAGAGTGCTGTTCAGCCTTTTGTTTTCATTTTCCTCAAGCCAGTGAAGAGCCTGAAAAGAAATGCTGGGCTATAGCTAGATAGACCCACCTATGTTAGCAGATACCTACATTCTGGTGCTTAAAAACCTGCCTTGAATGAACTGACCCTGAGCAGATTGAACCCCAAGTGAAAACATAATGCAACCCTAAATTCTTCAAAGCTAGTCCTCACTGCTTCCTTTGTGGTTTGTTCTGGTTTCTTGTAAGCCAGTGGGTTTTGTAGTCCATTGAATATTCCCTGAAAGGTGGCTTTAATTTTTAAATTGTCACTGCAGGTTATATAGCTACATACATAATGAGCAAGTTCCTGCTTGGTTTTTCACATTACTCTCTGATCCTTAGAAATGATTGAATCCCTTAAATCTCCTACCTTCTAATCTTTTAAGCCTATTCATTTTATATACACCATCTCTGCTCCTTATTTAGCTTTGGATTGCACTCTTGAATCTTGAGTTTCTCTTGAGTCTTTTGAAGTCTCTGGTGATCTGCATAGGCAAAAGGCATACAGTATTCCACAGTAATCTGTGTAGATCCTCATGAGGGATGTTACATACATAGACTGGTAATCAGGAATAATTCTTTGAAAATGTGTTTTTTGTTGTTGTTGTTGTTGCCAGTGAAAAAATCTTTCAGCCCTTACAAAAAGAATTTTGAGATTCTTGAAGATGGGCTGATTATTTCTTTAGGGGAAAAAAAGACATTTTGGTGTTTTGCTTTCAGTATGTAGATCTTTTTATGGGAATGCTGAAATATTTCTGTCCAACTCTTTCCTCAAACCTTTCTGTAAATGCATTGTTACGTGAGTTATGCATTACTATTTGGGCTTGGTGTTTGACAACAATTGTGTCTGTAAAGTAGGGCTCATGTTCCTATCTCACAGGCTGTACTGTTCTATGTTTGCATAAACGTCACAAAAGCAACTCAAGTAGCTCCTCTGAAAAAGTCAAAACCTATATTGCCTATGTCTGTTGCTTGCCTTTTCCTACTGCTCACTGCAGTTATTTCCTTTGACTCATTGACTGAATGCTTGTCTTGTGTTTTCCTGTAGCAGCTACTTAAGGACATGAAATGGAATGAATGATCTGGATATCTCAATTTATTTCATAATCCTGTAGTGTAAAAATCCTGTAGGATTATTTCATAATCCTGTAGAGTAGTGATCCAAAAACTCTGACATGGTGGCCAATAGAAAACAATGAAAGTAAATTGTCTCTGCTCATAGGAGCTTCCTCTCTTGCACCATCCTCAGCAGTAGATTTCTGTTTTGATCCAAAGAAGCACTGTAGAACTATGTTCCAATAAATATTAATTAATATGTAATGTAAAATATCCCTTGTTGGTACTTTCTGGGCATATAAAGAGTAATGTTGGATCAAGGGTGATTCATGTGTTAAACAGCTGTAGTACTGCAAGAAATTAATCTGCCTGCTGCTAGAAGTTCTGGAGATTTGCTTTCTAGCTTTCATGGTACACATAGTTGTGTTATGTCATCTAAGAAATTATTGGTGATGTAGAACAGATTATCTCTGAACTTTGCACTAACTTGGAAGGGTTTTTCATGTATGCATTGTTTTGTTTTATATATGCTGATTTCATGTTGTTATTCTTTATTATTGACTATGGATAAAATTATGTTCCTCCAATTACCATAGAAGTCAGTTTCTCATGGACTTTGGCAGTATGATTACCACTTTCACTCTCCTCGTGTTTCTCTGTAGGAAAGCTGGCATCTAAGCTCAGTCACTCTGTGGTCTTGTTCTCAACCATCTGTTGGGGCATGGGACTTCATACTTGTTTCTCCCCAAGGATAAACTGCCATCTCACAATAGTTTACTAACGCTCACCGAATAGAAATGAAGCTTCATTGTAATTAACTTGCCTGGATATGGATTTCCAGATACCTGTGCTTTAGTCACCTGCCAGGTTACACCACAGCACTGTGAAATACATACTCACTGAATGTTTGAAGTTGGGAGGTCATCGTATCCCTCGTGCAGGGCTATGTGGAGGAGGTGGGACCTGGTTCCACAGCTCCTGTAATGCTTATGTTAATCTTGCATCTTTAAAGCTGTATTAGAAAATGAAGAGCTTCAGGCTCCCTGGGGACCGCTGCCTTTTCGTAAATCCATCTCAGTCATAATTCTTTTGCATGACAAGAATTTCTTCAAGAATTTCTTGTTTTTTAAGCACAACCAATTTGATCAGGTTCCAAGAAGAGGGTCTGAAACCCTTTTGTTCGTACTGGGAGCTTGACAGCGCTTTGATCTGGTGCCGTTGAGGACAAGTTGCTGTTGGAAAGGATCATGTCTCACTGCAAAGCTGTTAAGTGACACAGGATGCAGATTCTTCTTCAGGAAAAATCTGAACTATCATTTTCTGTGCAGTTACTCTAAATCGTATATGTGGGTGTCAGGAAGAGTGCTTACAGCTCTGTATATTTAAATATACATGTGTTCTCCAAATTGTGATTTATTACTATTCAATATGATTTTCAGAAAATGACTTTGTCTTCGCTCAGTAAAAACTAACATAGATATAATACGTGCAAACTGTAACAGCATGCAACAGTTAGTGTTCTAAATACCACTGTTTAGAAAAAGTATAAATGAATTAGTGAGTAGTTATAAATCCTACAGATACTAAGTTAGCAGTCTTTTTATGCAACCAGCTAACTGTTCCTTTTTGCCATGCAACTGATTCTGGAGCTCTTTGCCTGCACCAGCAGCAATGTGATCTGTGTGAGAGGCTGGGAAATGAGGGGGAGCGTTTCCTTCTGTCAGTGAGGTACCAACTCCTGTCATTTGAGGGGTCTATAGAATTGGTCAAAATACCTTTAAAAAAAAAATAATTATCCAGCTTATGGGCATGGATATCCTTTGCTTATTTATTCCTTTATTTTGTAACAAAATAGTACTGTTTGTTCTCACATAGACTATCGTGTGATCCATAAATACGTTGTGAAGTATATCTGTAGCATCTAACAGATCCCTTTAGAATATTCTGTGAAAAATCATATCTTTAGTTGATCGCACTTTAAGAACATTTACATCCTTCATCTTGACATTTTTAAATAGAACATTTTTTTGCCTACAGAAGTTTACAGCATCATCACAGTATTATAGCTTGTTTAAAAATACATACAGCATCAGTGGTAATTGCAAGCAAGCTGTATACTTGAGCACGGATTTTGTTTGTAATTGTACATGTTTTATACCTGTTTAAACAATTACATATATTAGTATTACATCCACCACTTTGTTAGAAAATATTACTTATATGCTACTCACAATAGAGCTGTCATTTTTCTGAGACATATTGCAGGCTATGAAAATAGAAACACACCATTGTATAGTTTGGTTTAAAAATAATTACAAGCCCAATTGAAAAAAAGAGTTATGTTAGGCTTGCTGTTGATAAGATAGGTTCCATTAACATCGGATGTCCTTAATCCACTTGTGGTTGGAATGCCTCTAGCACCTCTCAGCACTGAATGATCAATGAAAGAAAACACTGACTGACCACTTGCAAGCAAACTCAGGGTTTGAGCCTGCATGCATCTGTCACTGAAGGCAAAGTTCTTCAGTTATAGGCTTGTGGGGCCAGGCTGTTGCTTGCTGAATATCTATGAATCTAATTTACTTAAGGTTACAACTGGATTTCAAAAACTTCAG